CTGGGGGGACCCGGGACATGGCGGCGCATCTCATCCTGCAATCGCAAGGGACGAGGGGGTGTTTGCGGGGTCTGACACAGGGAGGCCGGGACGCATGCCCCGTTGGGATCAAACACTCGACTGATGGCCTCCTCCGTTTACAGAAACACATTCTTTCCAAGTGAGAAAAGAGAAGGGAGGAAATGCCGGATGGACGTGAGCATGCAGGAAGCCCTTTCCCAGGGCGTGCCCCGCCCCTCCCTCCTACTCTTTGGCTGGGAAATGAAGTCCAGAGCTCAAGGTCTCGGGCCACTGAGGCGTCTGGCTCCAAGGTCTTTCGGGAGTTGGAGCAGAACGGACAGACGCACGTGGTCTCTGACGTCAGCTCAAGACCGCAAATGCCTGACTCAGTCTCTCTGCTGTTGGCACTGAGGGCAGCCTGGACTTTGGGGAGGCTAATCTGTGGCTCCTGGGTCATGACCTTCCTTCCTTTGGGTGTGTTCTCTATTAGGCTCCACAGTCTACCTGCCCCCAAAATGGGGATGCAGGGAAGATGAGGTCGGCGGACAAGAACTAGAACTCAGTAGTGTCCGTTATGTGCCCTCTGTGACACTGCACGCCAGGACAACCACGCTGGCCTTAGGGACCCCTTCAGGAGGAGGACATGGAAGAGGGGGAGGGGTGGAAGGAGACGGACAAGACAGCTGGGAGCAGGAGGTGACAGGGACAGAGCAAGAAAGACGCCACTTGGCATCCCCATCCTGAGGCTGAACATGAGATCAGGCATGTGAAGGACTCAGGGGTTGGCCCAGCACATGGTGCATGTGCATGTAATGGCTTGGCAGTGACACTCACGTCCTGAGCATCTGTGACTTACCTACCACAAGCAGCAGGGGCGAGGAGTGGGGAGGCAGACAGTGGCAGCAGCAGCCCGGGACAGGTGGAGGTGGGGGGTTAGGGGACAGGGATGGCACTGGGGGCAGGAGACAGCTGCATCTGGTGGCCACCAGAGTGCACATCTGATGTTCAGAACTGCACATTCTGAATCCTCAGGGTTTTCTCTTGTCTCCTCGCTGGCTGGATCATTTAAATCTTGTGGGAGGAAGACAGTCTAAGTAGCCGGCCCACAGTTACGAGACAGAGAGTAATGGGGCCTGGGATGTGTGTCCGGGGGCCACAGACACCGCTTCTCAGCCAAGCATTCCAAAGAGAAAAAAAGAAATTTGGTCTCGGGCTGGCC